TCAGATAATTTCATAGTAAAGTTTATATTACTGAAAATTGGTACGGATTTTGAAATCCATGATTGTTTTAATTCTTTGTTTGACTCCCAATCGTCACTTTAATGATTCTCAGCAACTCCATTCTGGGAGACTGAATCTCAACTTAAAAGCCAACTTCTTTAGAAAAGACATGAGTATTCGATCATGTAACAGTGTGAGCTGTTGCCCGTCTCTACGTTGGCCCTGAGATGAACCAGCTTTTCTGCAACCTTATTATCATATTAAAAACAAAGGACGGTCTTGCCTGGGGGCCCTACTCCTGACTGTAGTAACTAAAATGAGCCTTTGCTGAGGACACATTGCTGTTGAGCTCCTCATGCTGTCCTGGTGTCTCTGCTCAGCAGTAGATAAGATTTTGGATAAAAAGAGGCATTCAGTGCTGTTGCTTGGGTTACAGGGTTTGTTTACAGCCATTTTGAGCTCACAGTATAATAATGCATCCTGGAACAAACTGCTTCATACAAGCTCCTTTCTGACTGTTCTTTGGCCTCCCACATCCATCCCTCCCACCAGCAAGTGCTCCATGTGGACATTTGCAGTTGCCTGGCATTTCAAATTAAAGGGTAGAGTGAATAGGGAGTTTTGGAAAGATTTGGACTACTTGGTCTGACAAACTTGTGGCTATAAGCATGTAAAAAGCTCTTTTTGTCAGAGGTGCTTACTTTCAGAGCATAGGCTTCCACATTAAGTGGAGATGAAATTAAAGGAGGGGTACATAAGCAGCAACTGGCCTGTCTGATGTAAAACTAGCGCTCCAGTGTACAATCGGACCATTGTGATAGACTGTTGAGCACTGTGAGTCTGTCTCATGTGAGTCAACTCCCTAGGACAAGAGGTGACCTGCTGTCTTAGCCAAGCTGCACTCTCACCAGGGCCATGCTAATGAAGTGTTCGGAGTTTAGTGTGTCCCAGTGAAAGATGAGAAAGGAGGTGGGGAGGGGGAAACTTGGACTGAGAAGTGAGAGAGGGAGGGAGACTTTCAACTTGTTTTGTGATGAAGCATTTAAGCAGAGAGGAACATTTGAGAGGAGAGAGGGAGTCATTGTCTTCATAACACAGAAAACTAAAAGGGAATGTAGAGGACAACCAAGGAACACAAGACTTCCAGCAAATAAGGTGACCACCCTGGATGTTTGTTTTGTTAAATGTGGGGACTGGAGTTTGGACCAAAAAGGTAGATAAACACTAAACATATTAATATAATGTATTACAACATAATAGGAAAGTGATTTTAGTCTGTGGACAGGTGTCGTTTTAATATATTCTGCTGAAAATTGTTTGTGTGTCTAGTGTAGTAATAGTTAGAGGAGTTAGACTGTTTGCAAAGTGCTCCATTTAGATTTGAGGTTGGACAGGAAAACCACTAAGAATCCACTCGTGATAAACTCAAGCGTGTTTTCAGAACAGCACATTAGACTTTAACCTTTAATGTGACTTCAAGTCAGGGATCCTCTGTGATGCACCTCTGCTTTACAGGGGAAAGGAATGGTTAAGTTTTTCGGCTCTCGTGTCTAACCACGGGGAAACAGGACTGTGTTTCTGGTTGAAGACCATTCCTCAGCCTCCGTGGCTATCACCACATACGTGTACATTTTAATGCGGTGCTAAACTGATGTGAAGTTACTCTGACAGGTTATGATGGTTCATTCAGATTTTTTAAAACTCAGATTAATAAAATTAACTGGACTCGCGTGGAGGTACTGTCGGTAGACGGTCAGCGTAAACGCATTCTTAAAGGAATTAACACGTTCAGCGTTAAGACACCTTGGTTGTATTGTTGTTCCGCTATAATTGGCAAATTTAAGGCAAATTGCAAGCGTGTGAAAGAAGAAATAGATATGACCCCGACGTGATTTGAACACGCAACCTTCTGATCTGGAGTCAGACGCGCTACCGTTGCGCCACGAGGTCTCTGCGATGGCCAGCCAGACACCAGTGCTCATGTGGCTGTGTGTCGACGGTTGTGTCTGCGTATTTTATTTCCCTGTCTATCCGTGCCGAACGTTTATCTCATTAATCACTGAGAAATAGTTTCTTTATTGAAAGTTTCAGCGTGCTTCTCACATACCAAAATCATCACAGGTGTTTTACTTTGTAAATACTTTCAAACCAAAAGTATTTACACCATAGCTGTTCTGATTTTACCAAAATTTGAGATCTCATGTAAGATACTTTGTCGGTTTATGGTCTTATGGGTTTTTTGGGGGGGTTTTGCACAGCATGTACGTCCACCATATAAAACAATTCATCGATATCCATATTAAATATGAACGCGTTGCAGGGTCCAAATCTTTCAGTAGATGGCGCAATTTATCCGAGGTTAATCATAGGGTGCCAAGCCACAGAGGAATCCACAAAATAAAAGTTTTAAAATTCATGCTTTTGACAAAAGTAATGCAATCTATGGTGACGTGCACGTGACATATGGTGTTGTTGAACTCTACACAATCTAAAGGAGTGGGTGAATCGCTCAAACGTAATGTCGAAGGTGCTTGGTTTGTTTGCTTTGAGTTATGCGGGTTTGTTGCTAATCCCGGCTATTCTCCATCCAGGTGGAAAATAATTTTGGACACTTACCTGCTGTCATTTATTAGCAGCCGGACTGTACATTGCAAAATGGAGGGGTAAGTACATACAATTCATATAACAACTTATTTTGTGTATGTGTGTGTTTTCCCCTTTGACCACTTTTTTTTTTTTAAATTTTATCATCACTATATTTTTTTAATGTTCTGATACATCATTTGTTGTCATCACTGTAACCTAAAGCAGTCATATCCATTAGTCACATATAAATAATCCTGCACAGGGCTGAAAGTGGTTACTCACATTAGGCTGTTCGCTGGTGAGATGGGTGTTAGCATCAGGGAGCTCCAGCAGTGCAGGGCTCATTGATTAACTGGGTAAATGTCAGTGTTGGAGCATGCAATTAATATTAATATCTTCTCTGGTAATTTATTTTTTATTGCAACTTCAAAGGCAAATTTACTTTCAGTCATTTTTGATTTCATTTTAGAAGCAGCACTATTGACAGAGAGGACATGTTTTGCATGTCTATTAAAGTATCCATCACATTAGTTTTGCACAGAAATTCTCGCTTAATATAAAGATATGCATGCCTAGATTGACCTAGATTGTCTTTTAGGCTTCACTTTAGAGTATCCATAAAGTGGTATGCCTTTTTTGAGCCATAACCAACAGTTTTAGCTGTTGTTATCCAATCATGGCACACACATACTGATTGACTTGACACCTTATTTTCCCTGTCCGCAAATCTGAAAAATAATTATCAAAAAAGCCAAATAACAATATAATAGTTTCATTTTCTATGTGGTAGTTTTCATCATATTAACAAAATCTGGAAAGGTTGTGACTTTTTGGTGACTTGTAACTTTCCCTTATAAATATGGCAATAGACAGGGCGACCTTCTTCTGGCTATAATAAAAGGCCATCCCTTAATATACTCTGGGTAATAGTCAGACTTCAGAAAAGTGTATGTTCTTCAGAGCCAACCAGTCAAAATGCGGGACATTGGCTCAAGATGTAGTTTAGGGGGACAAGGAATAAAAATATTGTGTTGCCCCACATAAAAAGGGACCCTAGGCATGCCTGTTGATGTGTATTTGTTTTGTGTTTGGACAACACATAAAGACTTATGCCACATGTCACAATTCCTCTTGTTGCTGTGAGGCAAAAAAAAGAAAGAAAGAAAGAAAACACTACTAAAAAATAGTACTGAAAGGACTTCATTGGCTCCCAGTACAGTGTAGAATTCCCTTTCCTTTTTGTTAGTTAATAAAGCCCCAAATGGTTTGCCTCAGGGGCAGATCTACTGTGGTGGCATGGGGTGGTATGTGCCACCCCTAGTGCCACAGTAGTTTTGCATATGAATCAAAATAAGCTGGCATTAGGAATTTGAGCATAGCTACAACTGAGACCAATAACTGTGCAAGAGCACATTTTGAATTAATACCGTGGGCAATTCAGATTTCAACAAGGTCACATTTTTTTATGTAACTGAAATGTTTAGTCATTTGGGTTAAAACCCATAAGAAAGTTACAGACTATGATTATATGAAACATGTGTATACCTGCTGCAGTTGATGTATTTTAACCATGTGTAGTACATATTACAGAATGTAATACCTGCATATGTGTGACAAAATGGCTTTGATTTTGCCATCCCATCTGATTTCCATGCCACCCTTGTGTCACCCTAAAAAAATTCCTCTAGATCTGCCCCTGGTCGGCCTCACAGTAGATTTCTGACGTGCTCACTCTTCCTAACCCAGTCAGAGCTCTCAGGTCATCTGGCTTTTGACTGTTTCCAGTATTAGCTCTAGGTGTGCTGAAGGTGCTTTCAGTTAATTGTGGTTCAATTCTTTGGAACAAACCTGGAGACATGAGATAGGATACAATATACTTTACTGTCCCCTTAGGCAAATTTGTTGGGGACTTAAGTGCTGTTATAAGAGCTGCTTTTAAAGAAAGGAGAAATAATCAATTGATTAAAAACCAGACGTGTTTCTGTAATCACAGATCAATTACATATGTGCACGCATTTATAAACATACCTTTTTATTTTTAATTCACACAAGCTTACACTTTTTAAAATCTCCTTAAAATATACATATATATTGTGCTTTTTTTCACTGCCTTACCTGTTATCATTCCTTAAATCCTGTTTTATTTTGGTAGTCATTTGCCACCAGTGCTTTGCATTTCCTTTTACTTCCCCTGTGGATTTATCCTAATTAGTTTCACCTGTGCCTCATCCCCCTGATTACCCCTCAGTGTGTGTCTGTGTGTGTGTGAATGTTAATTCAGTGCCTCTGGATTATTTACCCTTTAGTTGCCTTTTATGGACGTTATCATCCGCTTTAAAATATAGCTCACCGTTTTGTTCAGCCCTGCATTCTGGTCTGAATTTGGGTTTGCTCCCACAGGTGAGCGATGGTGAAACATGAACTCTTTTTCACTATATTTACTATAAGATCTTGTTTTAGTTCTTGATTATGAACGTCAACAAAGCATACCAGTGATTTACAATTTGAATGCATTATATGCAAATTGGCAAAAATAGTAATTTTTCAGTTATTCAACCATACCTGGAGGTTTTTCTTTTAATTTCAGAAGGTGCAGCTTTTGTGAATTTCATGTCAGGGAGGAAAAGCTAACTGGACGGTTTGGGAAAGCGAGGGAGCAGCCATCTGCGTGTTCTGCTGCTCTGGATGCAGTCTCCATGGCAACATAGTGTTCCTGCAGCAAAAATCATGGGAAGACAGCTCGGTCCCAACCCCCAGGCGCATGCACACAGGCACTCCACTCACACTTTTGAGGCAAACGGTGCCTGCTCTGTCCATACATATAGTGATCACACAAGAAACACTGCAGCAGTTTGCCTGTCAAAATTCTTTACGCTACTTCCCATCTTCACCACTATGTTTCTCTAGATTCTTAAATAACTCACAATGACGATGTCCTACCTCCCACCTTCCTCTGATTCTCTTTTATATGGCATTTAATAATTCATTTCATCACTCTTTTAAATTGATGTCCAACTAAATTAGAGTTTCCAACAGGGTTCAGGCGATTTTTGGTCCTCTCATCTCATCTTCCACATCTCTATGCAAAAAGAGAGCCTCTCCTCATGTCAATGAGTGACTGTCTCACAGTTTGGCTTGTTGGATATTTCTCATTATCCTTACACACGCAATCAAAAAGAGAGGCAGAAGAGTTAAGGGACACCGAGAGCAGGAAATGGAGGGGAAAAAAAATCTGTCTTTGTTGCCATCTCCTCTTCACTCTGCTCATCTGTTACACTATTGGACAATTTGGCCCCCTCCCATTTTCACACCAGCCAGTCAGCTTGTACAATATCTCTGTATCTCTTGGCTCTCTCTCTTTCTCTCGCGCTCTCTCAGCTTCTATCTCTCCCTCCTGTTAGCACAAACATACATGTGTTAAAGCCAGATCCCACACGCACACACACCCTGCTTCTGTCTGTCTTACTAGTCTCTGTGTGTGAGGTGCTTTTTGCTTTGACAATGTCAGGTTTTGTGGACGGATATCGCTCCCTCTGGAGGAGAGCACGCTGAAACTTCCTCCCACCTCTCTTTCATCTGTCAGGAATCTGCTGTAAGTAAAAATTTCCCCTCTGACATCCCATCTTATCTTCAACGCCATCCCGCCGATATGCCAGCACATATTTGCTCCACCTACACAGTTTCCTTTCTCCCCTTTGCGGAGGGTGCATACCTCTCCTCCTCTCATGTCTCCCTCTCCACTCCATCACTCTCCCTTATTTCCCCTACCTCCCACTGGTGGATGCACACACCCTATGTTGTCTGTATGCAGAATAATGGTGCAGGCCATTTGCTGGCCTGTGATTGGCTTTTGCCATGTAACATAACCTGAATAAACATATCTTGGTTGTGTATGCAAGACACCTTCTATGAGAGTGACTTGACTGTGATTAAAGATGAGTGGCGAGATGATGTGTAGTTATCTGTGGTGAATAGGTTACTGTGTCCATAATCTGACATGATTGCAGACTCTGAGACACTCAAAAATGTAATTTGCGGCTTGTAGCAGCATGCTGTTAAAAGCTTTTTATATATAAAAATGGTTTGCCTAAAGTATGAAAACACAACCTGTTTTCAGCTTACACCAATTTGTAATTTTTATTCTCCACAATTTATAAGATAAAATATCTCTCACCACAAATGTTAGGTGACATCGTTCTACAGCCTATTAGAAAGAAAAATATATCTTTCCAAGCTGTCTGTGTGGTAATAATGCTGTGGCATTAAACTTGGGGCAAGATTGATTTCTCTGTTTCTGAAATATCTTAACTAGAAGTGAAATGTAATGCAGGAGGTTTACACTTCAGCTGTCACCAGTATTACACTTTGATCTCAATATAAATCCTTCCTAGCGCAACCTCACTTTGTTTTTAGGCATATGAGGGAATTAGTAGATGGCTTTAACAGAGCTCTCTTGAGCCTTGAGACTTGAAGCACTCTTGAAACAGTGATCCAGGAGAACGTTTGGTTACCAGAGTAACCCTAATTATCTGAAAGATCTCAATATAGGAAGTGCCTTGTGGACACCAATCTAACCAATCACTTTCAGGACACGGGTCCCCTGATCCCTTTCATAATGCCCACTGGCCAAGTATCAGGCATTCTTCATGTATGTGCAAGTTGGGCAGTTTGGTGAGATACCTTGCTTGGTTTTCAGAGAACCAGGTTACACTGGTAACCAAATGTTCTCCTGGTTTTTGTGTACAGGACAAAGCAAACTTGCCCATGGCTGTCGTTGGAAAATGGCAGTAGGCAAATAGCCAGTAACTCCAGTGTAGGTAGATAAGTAGATTGGATAACCTTAGAGATGACGATGAAGTTGGAGGCAAAACTGCAGACAGGAAGTATGGCTAGATAAATCGTATCACTGATTGTTTTTGCCGTTGCAAAAGGAAGCAATATGACATTTTTGAGTGGAAGTGCCTTTAAGTCAATGTAGTCCAAAGGTAGTTCTGAGAGTGGCTCCAACATTGTGAGTAAATCCCAGGACAGAACAACAAAATTAGGCAGTGAGTAAATGCCAACCCCAGCTCAGTAGCCAGACCCTGAACTTCAACATGTAACAAAAGCAGTGATGAGTAGACAGGCTGTGATGTTGACTTGTAAACCTTTTGGTACATGGAGGCTTTGAAATATTCCCTTTTTTACATGGGAGAGCTGGCCTTGGTGACGTGAGTGTGGGATTTTGATTTGGGTGGAGATGATGTACCAGCATCTGCTTCTCCCACTTGGCATCCAGCTTTCCAGGCTAGTTAATGGGCAGTCTGACTGCCACATCCTTGTAAAATGGACTGGTTATGGTAAATGGACTGGTTCTTATATAGCGCTTTTCTACTCTGTCTGAGCACTCAAAGCGCTTTATACAACTAATTCATTCACCCAATCACACCCATTCACACAAGCACTTCTTCTAAGTTTAGGTGCTGAGTATCTAACATTCATACACATTCACAATCCAATGAATGCATCGGAGAGCAACATGGGGTTAGTATCTTGCCCAAGGATATTTGGCATGCAAACCTTCTGGTTAGTGGCTGATGTGCTCTGCCACCTGAGCTACAGCCACCCCTATATATGTATATCTCATATAGGTCAACCTCACGGGGAAATGGAAAGGCCTGAGTTTCCCCGCTGATGGAGCTGCTCCTGATCAGGAGTGCAAATAGCATCCTCCTCATCTTTATCCATTGTCATCTATGAATTCCATGTTAATGTCATTCTTATCTTCTCCATACTCCCCTTCAGAGTCGAGGAGCTGGTTAAAAGAGGGGAAAATTCAGCCCCAGGGTCTCAAGTGCCTGCTGAGCTGGATTTATCATTGGGACCAGGTTTTGAGGCCACCAACATTAGCAAATGGTGTTCCAGGTTTTGGCTTGCACTCTGCAGCAATTCTGTCAGCGACAGTTGTGCCTGTTTGACACCCATACATGTGATGCAGAGAAGATGGAGGTCTTTCCTCAACATGGTCAACCCATAAATGACTGAGCAACAGCAGACTGTGTCCCTAACTTTGCCATTGTCAGCGTTTCCTTGAGAGGATTCAGTGGTAGTCATAACCACTAATGCTTAGCTCTGACAACTAGCAAATAGTAACACAAGCACACTTGTACTTGGCATATAAGCTTGATAAGGCATCAGTCTGCATCAATGTGACAACTACTACTAGAAAAATATATTTATGTAATGAAAATATAATTACAACATTATAAAAATAATCCTGAAATCAGGAAAAACCCACGTTCAGGGACTACCTTGACATCCCAAACTGTAGGACAGATAAAGGGATAATCCAGGTTCTTGACTGCTGAGGAGCTCTTGTGATCTTCTCAGGGAAGAAAGTGAGAGTGTTGTGGGGCCAGGCGCTGCTATTAAAGGGTTTTGGAATACCTGTGACTTTGAGGTGATTGGGCTGTCTTAGACAGATGTAGGGGTAGTGGAGCTTCCGTGATTGGTCACGCCAGAAGGCGCCTCTCATAGAGACACTGAGTGAGATTTGAAAGAGAACCTCTGGTCATCGTGGGGGGAAGTGGAGACTGGAATGTCCAGCTGGCACGGGAGGAATGTCACTGGAGCTGCATGGGAGGGTGAGAGCCAGGCGAGATGTAAACTTAACCATGAAAACACAATTAATGGATACTGTTACTACTGGATTTTCAGCTCTGTTTGTGCTGTAGCTGTTATACACTCCTATTTGACTTGTTAGGGTGTTTGTCACAGTGTTGGAAAGCTGTTATGCTCAAATTTGTAATTGTTCCCTTCATGCACAGTTAAGTATTTACTAACAGCATGAGAGAAATATATTAATTACATCATATATCACAAAAGTAACAGCTGAGCATGATTTGTGAAGATGACCATCCTTGCTCTTTTTTAATTCTTTGTCTTCCTTGCAGACCTGAGCAGTGTTAAGATGATTGTGGTGCCTGTTGAACCCATGCTGCACTGTCAAATTTTTGTTGCTGTTTTGATATGAACCCCTCAGTGAGGGGATCAGGTCTTTGCAGCTCAAACTTAAGTTTTAACTTTGTGAAGTCTGAAGAAGAGTGTGTCTTTTATTATAGTCCATCCGAGAGATGCAACGGCATACATGAACGTTGTTTTGTAAATTTGCTATTTCGTTTTTATTTGAATTTGGTTTTTATCTGTGCCTTTGTGGCAAAAAAATACATCAGTAAAGTCAAAGATTATTGGCCAACATATCATTGTATATTATATACATAATACATTGATACACATTGTTTTATGTTGATAATGTCTATAGTGTCCATTTCTTTTGGGCTATTCTGTTTATATTGAGAACAGCACCCAGTTCTTTGTATGTGTACACATACTTGGACAATAATGCTGATTCTGATAATAGATTTACCAGGCACAGTTGGATTTGCAGCAGTGAAGTAGGGCTGTGCGATATGACCAAAATCTCATATCCCGATATAAGAATTCTATCGCCCGATAACGATATAAATCACAAAAATGTAACATTTTGTGTAAATTCTGTAAATCTCGGGCAGCTCGTCTTGCAGGAAGTGTTTCCAGCTGCGCGTCATGTAGCTGGAGTCGAGTGTTTTAACCGATGCATGAAACTATACATTTTTAGACATAAGTTGTAAAGGCCGCCGTTTTCTTTGTGAGTATTTATTACACAGCGTGCTGCGGGGAAAAGCCTGTTCTAACGTTTGAGTCTAAGGTTTATTTTTTAGCACCTGGCGGCTCTTTTTTAATTCTCATCCGTAAATAATCTGCTCTTTCACGTGATTTAGTTTATTTTGAAAAGTCTCAACAGGATCTTGAGCTTTATTGTGAAAGTAACATAAACAAGCGGACACCCGATGCTGTTACCGTCGTTGTTGCTAACCACATCGCACAAAAACAGGGGCTTTTACCGTCCATATAAAATATAAGAGAAAGAGAGAACTTTAAGAAATTAATATAGCCACTACAGTGACCATCAAAACGATGAAAAAATATTGCCATAAACAGTTTATTTTGCGACACCACGAAACAAACGATAGCGTAAAATGAAACGATAGACGTCTTTATATCGTCATTCGATATATATCGTTATATCAAACAGCCCTACAGTGAAGTGTTCCTTTGTGGATTCTTGCCCCTTGTTTGTTTGCAAAATAAATGTGTATGCTTACATATGCACAGTATTTATCTGTGTGATAAATAACAGGTTTTCCACATTTAGCTGTATTTATTTGTAAGAGAGTCATGTAGTGAAAGCTTAGTGACGGCGCTGAGAGACGTAGTCATGTCACTGGATATATTTAGCCAGGTCCCTGTGGGGGGGCTCAGCAATAGTAAAGTCCTTACTGTAAGAACATTTCATGTAACAACAGCAAACAAAGCTTCCGTTTGGCACTCTTCTGTTACGCATAGTTGGACAGAGATGCTGCAGTTCATATATCTTATATACTGTGATCTGAATGTCCAGAGAGGGTAAAAAAAATCTGTCACTATATACACAGACATTTCCTGCTCTATGGTAGAGGTAAGGGTGTCTGGTGAATATACTGTATATACAACTGGAGAATAAATGGGTCGCTT